TCCATTTAACACAGCGCCTTTCTGAGTCAGGTAAACTGTCTTCAGTGTGTGTGTGTGAGAGAGAGAGAAAGGACAAGAAGATGTCTCAAAACGCTTTTGCAAGATTTACTGTAAAGAGTAGTGACTGGGTGTTTGTGGGCAAAACACTGCAGCCAATTTGTGCACAGTATCGTCGCCACAAACAGTCATGGAGGAAGTGACTGATTTTATCTGGAGGATTTCCGGCCAGCGAACCGGGAGAGAGAAACACTCTTCTCTTTACCAATATAGCAAGCACCATTTCCAAATTTGCGGACGACACAAAGTTAGGGAGGGTGGTAAACAGCGAGAAGGATAGGAACCAACTCCAGGAAGACATAGACAGAATGGTAAAATGGGCGACACATGGCAGATGAGTTTCAATGTAGAGAAATGCAAAGTAATGCATTTTGGTAGAAAGAATGAGGGGAGGCAATATAGGCTGGTAATACAATCTTAAGGGGGGGTAAAAGAACAGAGAGACCTGGGGGCGCAGGTGAATGAATCCATGAAGGTGGCAGGACAGGTAGATAAGGCTGTAAAAAGGGCAAATTGGATTCTAGGCTTTATAAATAGGGGCATAGAGTACAAGAGTCAGGAGGTTATGATTGACCTATATAAACACTGGTTAGGCCTCAGTTAGAATACTACGCCCAGTTCTGGGCACCACTCTGTAGGAAGGATGTTAAGGCATTGGAAAGGGTATAGAGGAGATTTACGAGGATGGTACCAGGAATGAGGGACGGTGATGATGAGGAAAGGCTAAGAGAGGTGAGGATTATTCTCATTGAAGCAGAGAAGGTTACGAGGAGACCTAATAGAGGTCTTCAAAATCATGAGGGGATTTGATAGGATGGAAAGGGAAAAACTGTTCCCACTGGTGGGAGTGTCAGTGACTTGAGGTCACAGATTCAAAATAGTCTCTAAAAGAAGCCGAGGGGAGATGAGAAGAAATGTTTTCACGCAGCGAGTTGTTTGAATCTGGAATGCATTTCCTGAAAGGGCGGTCGAGGCCGATTCGATAACTACTTTTAAAAACGAGGTGGACGGGTACTTGAGGAGGACGGGTTTGCAGGGTTATAGGGAAAGGGCTGGTGAGTGGGATTGACATTAATTGCTCTAATCAAGGAGCCGGCACAGACTCGATGGGCTGAATGGCCTCTTTTTGTGCTGTACGATTCTATGATTCTATGATTCTATGAATATGTGCAATTTGCACTTTATGTGAAAGCAGTTGTTTTCATTTCACACTTGAGTGCAAACAACAAGTGTCGCAAACCGGCTTGTTCAAGTCAAGACCGAAATCTCTCTTGTTCCCCAAAAGCAGTCGGCGCATGTTGGGAAGCTGTCAGACACTCTCGTGATTCATTTCAGGCTGACGTTATCCCACAGGTTGCGAAGTTTCATTTCTGTAAAAGCAATCGCTGAGACAGGCGGATTTCAATCTCACTGACCCCCCACCCCCACCCCAGCAGTCTCACTGACTCATTTACCACCCTTAGTCCGAGGCCCTGACTGTTCATGGTTAGGACAGCCACTGGCCTCGCTCTGGGCTCCATCACACACCGAGTGCTAACATTGGCCATCTACGTGTCTACATGGAAAGGATGGTTGTTTTAGCCTACAATTACACAGTCACTACACTTGATGGCAATCCTCTGTGAAGTTCTTTGAGATGCTCTGACATTATAGATCCAGTAATCAAGGGGCAAGGAAACAACCCAGTGGGAGGGAAGGGAGGGGGAGGGTCAGAGGGTCGCCCTGGGTTTCCAGTGACAGACAGAGAGGTCCCTGGTGATGAGATTTGGGTGTGGAGTTGCCAGGATTGTAAAATCACTCATGGGAGAAATGTCAGAGTAAATAATAATAATAATAATGCTTGCATTTGATATAGCGCTTTTCACGTCAGGAGGACGACCCAAAGCGCTTCACAGAATACACTGTAAAGTGAATTGACTGTATATTTGTGGGCGAACGCAGCAGCCAATTGCGCACAGCAATGTCCCACAAACAGTCGTAGATTGAAAATGACCAATTTATTATTGTTTTTGGTTTTGGAGGGATTATTATTAGGCTCTGTGTGGAGTAAGGAAACTTGCCCAAGGTTTCGCCCTCTGCCTGGAATTGAACTCAGGTCTCTCGCTTGCAAAGCGAGTGCTCTAACCACTGAGCTACAGGACTCAATGGTGCTGGTGTCCTGGCCAACAAACCCACAGATAACGAAAGGCAAAATTCTGCAGATTCTGCGAGTCTGAAATAAAACCAGAAGTCGCTGGGAACACTCAGCAGGTCAGGCAACACCTACGGAGGGAGGAAGATGGATTGATGTTTCCAGTCGATGACCTTTCGTCAGTCATCAACTTGAAACGTTAACCCACTTTCCTCTCTCCATAGCTGCTGCCTGGCCTGCTGAGAACAACAACAACAACAACACATTTGTATAGCACCTTTCACATCAAGAGGACGTCCCAAAGGCGCTGAGAATCCCCCGGATAAAATTAATCACTCGCTCCATAGCTGTGTGTGGTACGTTGCTTTGTGCAGATTGGACATCTCAAGTGACCCCAAGTTATTACAGGACTGTGTATCCGAGGCCCACACTGCAGGTTGCCTCGGGGCTGGGGGGGGGGGGGAGAGAGGAAGGTGCTCAGTATGACATGCACAAAGAATATCCTAAAAGGTATTTTGTGCCCTGACCTTTTTTTTCCCCATTTCGAAGAATTTTAATAATAATAGTAATAATAATAATCCTTGCATTTGGACAGCACCTTATCACTTTGTTGAGACGTCTCAAAGCGCTTCACATGATATATTGTAAAGTGAATTGACTGCATATTTTTGTCGCCTGTTCCACACAGCAGCGTCCCACAAACAGTCGTGGATTGAGTGACCAAATTATTATTATTTTTTGGGAGGGATTAATCCGCTAATCGACTAACAAGCGGGTTCTTACTTATTTTTCTTGATAAATATGCATTATGTGTGGGTGTAAGGAGTCCCTGTGCCGCCTTAGGGATGGAAGATCAGGGTTAGATCTACACAAATGTGGAGTCCTGTAGTTTAGTGATCAGAGCGCTCGCCTTGCAAGGAGAGATCTGGGTTCGATTCCCGGGCAGGGCTGAACTTTGTGCAAGTTTCCTTACTCCACTGTTTACCAAGTAGTAAGTAGGAACTTGGTTGTTAAGTCGATTGACGGATTGCTTTTCTGGAGGTAATAATCCCTTCAAAATTTTTAAAAATAATAACAACAATTTTGTCGCTCAATCCACACTGCTATATATTATTATATATTATCAATCCACCACTGTTCGTAGGACACTGATGTGCGCCATTGACTGCTGAGTTTCGCCCACAAAATACACAGTCAATTCACTTTACTGTGAAGCGCTTTGAGACATCTTGAAGACGTGATTATAATAAATGCAAGGACTATTATTATACATCAGCTCGGGACAGTCTCGGCGGCTCAATTCCTCCAGAACATTCAGGTTCTGTAGGTAGTTTTGCAATCTCTACATCTCTATCTCTTGCTCTCTCTCTCTGCATCTGTATCTCCCTCTCTCTCTCTCTCTCTGCATCTCTCTCTCTCTATTTCTGTATCTCTCTCTCTCTCTCTCTGCATCTCTCTCTGTATCCCTCTCTCTCTCTCTCTGTATCCCTCTCCCTCTCTCTGCATCTTTCTCTCTCAGTCTCTCTCTCTGCATCTCTCTCTCTCTCTGTATCTGTCTCTGCATCTCTCTGTGTATCTCTCTCTCCCTCCCCCCCTCTCTGTCTCTCCCTCCCTCTCCCCCCCTTCTCTCTCTCTCTGCATCTCTCCCTCCCTCTCTCTCTGTATCTCTCTCTCTGTATCTCCCCCCTCCCTCTCTCCCCCTCTCTCCCCCCCTCTCTGTATCTCTCTCTCCCCTCTCTCTCCCCCTCTCTCCCCCCCCCCTCTCTCTGTATCTCTCCCCCCTCTCTCCCCCCCCCTCTCCCCCCCCCCCTCTCTGTATCTCTCCCCCCCCCCCTCTCTGTATCCTCTCCCCCCCCCCCTCTCTGTATCTCCCCCCCCCCCCCTCTCCCCCCCTCTCCCCCCTCTCGGGGTGCGGGAGGCAGCAGAGCAGCAGTTTGTTTGGTCGGTGGTTTGGCCACGAGATCGCGGAGATACAGAGGAGAGGAGAGGAGTCGCTGTGTTGCTGCAGCAGCGCTTTCCCCCTCGGGCGGGGGGGCGGTGCGGTCCAGAGCCTCAGCCTCACCCCCCGCACACCCCCGCACCCCCTCCCCCCCCCCCCCGCACACCCCCCCCCCCCGCTCTGGCTGAGTCCCGCTGATGGCTCAGGTGTGACCGGGACCTATTATGCCGCTCAGACACCGCGCACTCTGTCATCTGAGCTGCACTTTAGACCCTGTGTGTCCGGTTCAGCCGCACTCCCCCCCACTCCCCCCCACTCCCCGCCCCCCCCCGGCACCGCGCTCAGCCTCTGCTCAGCTGATCCCAGACACACCGGCAGCCGGGAGACCGCGCCGGGCGGTGCCGAGCCGAGCTGTGCTGTACTGGGCTGAGCTGAGCTGTGCTGTACTGGGCTGTGCTGTACTGAGCTGTACTGGGCTGTTCCGGGCTGAGCTGTGCTGTACTGGGCTGAGCTGAGCTGTACTGGGCTGTACTGAGCTGTGCCGGGCTGTGCTGAGCTGTACTGGGCTGTACTGTGCCGGGCTGTGCTGAGCTGTACTGAGCTGTTCCAGGCTGAGCTGTGCTGTACTGTGCTGTACTGGGCTGAGCTGTACTGGGCTGTACTGTGCTGGCCTGTGCCGGGCTGAGCTGTGCTGTACTGGGCTGTACTGGGCTGTACTGTGCCGGGCTGTGCCGGGCTGAGCTGTGCTGTACTGTGCCGGGCTGTGCCGGGCTGAGCTGAGCTGTACTGGGCTGTACTGTGCTGGCCTGTGCCGGGCTGAGCTGTGCTGTACTGGGCTGTACTGTGCCGGGCTGTGCCGGGCTGAGCTGTGCTGTACTGTGCCGGGCTGTGCCGGGCTGAGCTGTGCTGTACTGGGCTGTACTGTGCCGGGCTGTGCCGGGCTGAGCTGTTGGCATCACCATGACCTTGAAGTCCAACAAGAGTGAGTCTGTGAGTCCTTTCGCCGCTTTTGAGACCATGAACAGCTGCCGGACTCCGCTGTCCGACCTGTACCTGGAGCAGCTGCTGCTCAGCAAAGGGAAGTCTGAGGTGAGTGAGTGGGGCTCCCTCCCCCCATCATTGTCTGTGTCTCAATGTCCGTCCCCCCCCCCAGTGTCAGAGACCCTCCCGCACTGACTGTCTGTCTGTCTGTGTTTGTGTCACTCCCAGTGTTTGTGTCAGTGTCTGTCACCCCCCCCCCCACCCTCACCGCCAGTGTCACACGCTCACTCCCAATGTCAGTGTTTGTGATTCCCAGTGTAGAGACTCTTCCCCCTGACTGTCAGTGTGTGTGTCAGTGACCCCCGGTGTCTGTGTCAGTGTGTGTGTGTGTGTGTCAGTCACCCCCGGTGTCTGTGTCAGTGTGTGTGTGTGTCAGTCACCCTCGGTGTCTGTCACTTCCAGTGTGAGACCCTCACTGACTGTCAGTGGTGTCACCCCCAGTTTCAGACCCTCACTCCTGATGTCAAAGACTGATTCCCAGCGTAGAGACTCTCCCCTTGATTGTCAGTGTTTGTGTCTGTGTATCACCCCCAGTGTCTGTGTTAGTGTGTGTGTCTGTGTCAGTCACCCCCAGTGTGAGACCCACACTGACTGTCAGTGCTTAAGCGCTCCAAGTCGCTACCCCGCGTGGAGGACGCTATATAAATGCATGTTGTTGTCTATCATTCCCAGTGTGAGACCATCCCTCACTCACTGTCAGTCTCTGACACCCCAGGGTAGAGGGTCACCCTTGTACCCCCACCCTCCCTGCCCGCCACCCTCCCTGCCTAACCCCCAACTCGGGTGCAAATCCTTGGTTATCCATTGCCTTGGGACATCCTCCCAACGTGAAAGGCGCTGTGTACAAATGTAATTTTTTGTTGTTGTTGAAGACACCGCGTGTCAGTGTCTGTTACTCCCTGTGTTGAGATTCTCACTGTTGTGTCTGTCACTCCCAGTGTACAGACCCTGCTTTCAGGGTCACCTGCGAAACACCTAGTCACCGCACTTTACACTAAATCCTTTGAAGTATTCTGAGACATCCTCCCGATGTGAAAGGCGCTGTATCTTACTGTGAGGATCATTATTCATCCCTCCCTTCCATAAAATAATAATAATCCTGGCATTTGATACAGCACCCTATCACGTCTTCGAGACGTCTCAAAGTGCTTCACAGAATATACCCTAACGTGGATTGACTGTATATTTTGTGGGTGAAACGTGGCAGTCAATCCCCTGACTGTTTAGTCAGTGTTTGTCACTCCATTGCAGGGAACCCAGCAATCAGCTCTCACCGGCTGCCCAACGTGTATCATTCTCGGTGTTGGGTCCCTGTATTCAGCCTTCGCTGCTGGTGTACTGAGTGCCTATCATTTATAATGCATATACTGTGCTCAGCTGCTGTCTGTCAAGGCTAATGCCAGCGTAGTGCAAACCTGAGGATGGATTGCAACGGACCCTTAACCTGAGCCTCTCTGTCGGATGCAAATTGAAATTGCTGTGAATTTCCAGCGTTTCAGTTTCTGTTGTGCATCTGGCAGCTTCCCCATCCACCACCTCTCCCTCCCTCCCCCTCCCCCTCTCTCCCTACCTCCTCCCCACTCCCCATTTTTTTTACTAAGATAGGATATGTCTCAGGGTCTCAGTGAGTTGTGGAGCCTCTCAATGAAAACCCGTACAGCTGTGCCAGCGGGGATTGAGTCAGCAAGCGGTTTATCATCACCAGATGGGTTAGGGAGCAAACACCAGCGCAGGCAATTGAGTGATAATGTAATGTATTTTGTGGGCGAGTATTTCCTGACAAAGACACAATCACTGCACTTGACAGCATCTGCCAAATGCTTGCAAAACATTTGGACCACATCTCGGCGCCACATCGAGCGCAGGATTATTACTGTATCGATATCAAGGCAGATTTTACTTGCCCAAGGATCAAAAGTCACCGCGCGCTTGACAGCAATCGCCTGTGAAATGCTGTGAGTGGTGTTACCACGCTGCGTTAAATGCAGCTTGGACTAAAGTGTGAGTGAGAATTGCTTTTTGCACAGTTTATCGAACCGTTCTTTTTATTTAGCTCCCCCCCACCCCCAACAAAGGACATTTTGCACCCCTGGATGAGGTGGGGGGGGGGGTACTATTTTCAGCTCGCAGCCAACCCTTGATGGCTAGACAACGACCCCTGCTGGAAGGAGTAGGAATGCATTGGTTCAAATAGGGTCAGGCTCAGCTGTGGGTTTCCAACCCCTCCCCCCTTCCCCCCTCTTCCCCCATTCCCCCGGCATATGGCTGAATAACCTACTGACAGTGACAACTGAATACATTCGAATGGCCAACAGTCAGCCTGGCTCATCGGCAGGACCTCAAAGGACAGACTAGTCACTAGGAGCAGCTCCTGTCAACCCTGGAAGCCAAAGCCCTAATGGGTGGGGTGGTCCTAACTGGACAAGCCACAGGAAACCTTGCCAGACAGTGATATCAATGGCAAGCTATGTGGTTTTAGCTGGTTAGACCCCAGCAGTTACCCCAACGCACACTCTGGTCCCTAAGCCTTGGCTCTTGCGCCAAATACTTTCCGGAATTAGGTGAGCAGGATGGTCCCTCCAGGGAGAGAGTGCTCATTCCATTACAACAATCTATCTCTGGGATTTACATGTGTAGGTGGGATTCATGGAATTCTCAGTTGGTTTAGATGTTCTTCAGTATGGTGATTGAACTCCACATGTGTCAGACAGATGGAGTCCTTCCATTTGGAAGGGTTATCGCAGCTGGAGTCCTGTGTGTACGCATGTGCTTAGATGTGCGCGCATGTGACGGGAGACATCTTGTATTCTGCTGCCACTTGGGATGGGGAGGAACTGGGTCTGGGGCTGAGGTGACTCATGCTTTAGGAGGTAATTGCGTGACTCTCAGCAGCATTCTGAACACGCAGGGCTGTCCAGAGTGTCAGAGCTGCACAGGGTGAGGGCCCACATTCTCAGACCTGCAAAACATCTATAAATAGCGCATTATACAGAAAGATATCTCGGTCGCGTGTTGCACTGAACGGGATCCATGTTGCATCGCTAAGCACTGGAGAGCTGCGGTTCGAAGGTCATGGCTGTTTGCAGATCACTGGCTCTTCAGCCACTTGACCCTGGATATTGAAGCGTGTTATCTTTCAGCCACAAGATTGTTCCTCGCACCATGATCTCGGCTGACACGTCGAGATGTTACAGAGCATAGCGAAGGCTCTAGATTAACCTTGTGTTGAGGTGTCCTAGTTCAGGGTCGGCCTTGACACATACCTCGTTGATCTAGATCAGTGTAACTCTGCACCATGTGTGTCATGCTGTGTTCTAGATCAGGGCAGAGTAACTCACTGTTCCAGATCAGGATGATCCATAATATGACAAGAATATTGAAAATCTCTAAGGGTATCTTCAGTGTGTGGGATTGGGTGCTGCGTTCAGAGAAGGTGCAGATTCAGTATTCACAAGAAGCAATGCACTTCCGCCTCTCTGTACGCACCTTCCCTCAGACTCACTCCTTCTCTCCCCTCAGTCAAGGACCTCTGAAATTCTCCCTCTTTGACCAAGCTTTCAGTCATTGGCTGCCGCGTTCGCCCACAAATATACAGTCAATTCACTTTACAGTGTGTTCTGTGAAGAGCTTTGGGACGTCCTCCCGACATGAAAAGCGCTATATCAAATGCAAGGATTATTATTATTATTATTATTATTATTATTATTATTATCTTTCCCCTCCGCAAGCTCGGGTCCCCTACCAGTACTGTAAAAGCCTTAACGAGACAGGTTTCCATTCCAAACAATAGCCAACTTCCAGGTTGCACTGTGTGATCGATGTCACTTCCTGCAGACCCGGCACGTCTGCCAAGAGTAGGAAGGAAGTGACATCAGACGGGATCCGACAGTCTGGAAGTCAGCCATTTTGTTTTGTTTTGTTTACAACACGGCTTCTGAGGGACGAGATCGACAGACGCAGCCATCCATGTCACCGTGAGGCTTTGGGACATCCTCGCAGTGTGAAAGGTGCAATATAAATATTAATTTGTGTTGTACTGCAGTTGACCTCCTCTCCTGAACAACTCACACTGACCTGTAGCACAAATTATCTTCCGTGTTTTCCTACAAATATACGACCACTGCATTTCAATTAGAGGCTGTGAAGCGCTGACACGATGAGGCGTGATATCAAATGCCAGGATTGTTGATAAGTACAAGGGTGTAACGTCTTACAGACACCGTGGGCTGAAAATGGTCTGTGGCCAGGATCACGCCTGTGCTAACCACCAATGCTGACTACAGGGGAAAAGGTGTGAGAGTGGGGAACGGTGGGGAAAGGTGGGGGAGTGGGGAAAGGTGGGGGAGTGGGGAAAGGTGGGGAGTGGGGAAAGGTGGGGGAGTGGGGAAAGATGGGGAAAGGTGGGGAGTGGGGAAAGGTGGGGGAGTGGGGAAAGGTGGGGGAGTGGGGAAAGGTGGGGAAAGGTGGGGGTGTGGGGAAAAGGTGTGAGAGTGGGGAAAGGTGGGGAAAGGTGGGGGAGTGGGGAAAGGTGGGGGAGTGGGGAAAGATGGGGAAAGGTGGGGGAGTGGGGAAAGGTGGGGAGTGGGGAAAGATGGGGAAAGGTGGGGGAGTGGGGAAAGATGGGGAAAGGTGGGGAGTGGGGAAAGGTGGGGAGTGGGGAAAGGTGGGGGAGTGGGGGAGTGGGGAAAGGTGGGGAAGTGGGGAAAGGTGGGGGAGTGGGGAAAGGTGGGGGAAGGTGGGGAGGAGTGGGGAAAGGTGGGGGAGTGGGGAAGATGGGGAAAGGTGGGGGGGTGGGGAAAGATGGGGAAGGTGGGGGAGTAGGGAAGGTGGGGAAAGGTGGGGGAGTGGGGAAAGGTGGGGGAGTGGGGAAAGATGGGGAAAGGTGGGGAAGTGAGGAAAGGTGGGGAGTGGGGAAAGATGGGGAAAGGTGGGGGAGTGGGGAAAGATGGGGAAAGGTGGGGGAGTGGGGAAAGGTGGGGAGTGGGAAAAGATGGGGAAAGGTGGGGGTGTGGGGAAAGATGGGGAAAGGTGGGGAGTGGGGAAAGGTG